TGGGATCTGGCTTCCCCTTCCATGAGGCAGATAACACTGCTGGCTCAGCCACACTCCAGGCTTTGCTGACCTGAGCAGGACCACACCTTTGGCCCTGAGCAGGGGGATGGAATGCATGTGCAGCACCACTGTGTTGCTGATGACAGTGGAGAGCCTGGGCTGTCTGCCTTTCTCAAGGCATTGCTCCAGCAGGCTGAGCCTGCTGAATGGAGCCCAGTCTGCAAAATGTGTTTCCCTTGTCTTTAGAGGCACCTCTGGAGCAAGAGAGAAGGCGTGTTGCAGGGACAGGCATACTGCTTTATCCCTGGCCTCTCCAGAAAAGCCCAGGCAGAGGGACAGGCAGGGAAAAGCTGTGTACAAACATAGAGGGGAATATCCTGCTCCTATAGCTGAGGCTCCAAGGCAGCAAGTTATTTCTGGTGAAGCAGCACATCAGCCTGTACCTCCACAGCTGGAGGTGATCCTGGCTGTGCAGACCCATCTAACAAGGCCTTTCTCCATCAGACCAGGCGGAGACCGGTCATGAGCAACCACACAGCCACCCACATCCTCAACTTCGCCCTGCGCTCAGTGCTGGGAGAAGCAGACCAGAGAGGGTCGCTGGTGGCACCAGACAGGCTGAGGTTTGACTTCACAGCCAAGGGAGCCTTGTCCACACAGGAGATCAAGAAAGTTGAAGGCATCGCCAACCAGATGATCGAGGAGGCAAAGGTGGGTTGGTCAGCTGGAGGGGTCAGCTAGTTTGCTGGCCCCATTCTCCAGGAAGAATCCTGCCCTTTTCCTGGTGGATCTGTGCACTGCAGTGTCTGAACTGGGCTTGGTGGACAGCTGAGGCACCAGCTTTCAGTAGGAGTCTGGCTTGAATCCCTTGCACACCCCTCCTTGGAGCTGAGCTGTGTGTGAGGTGTAACGTGGATAAGAGCTTCTTATGTTGCCATTTCCCCATTGTGTGAGGACAGAGAGGAAAACTCATTCCTTGGTTGTCACCTCTTCCCACCAACCTTTCGTGGAGGGACCATCTCCCTGTCTCTTTAATGCTTGGGTTTGGCTGGTATATGTATGCTTGTGAAAAAGATACTGTAAGTGAAGTTTTTGGATGGCCTGGGATGCTGGAAGTGTGGCTCGGTGCTTCTGAGCTGCTGGTGCTGCACTGTGCAGATTTGCATTGCTTCAGGGGGTTTTGAGTGGGGAAAATTCCATGTACGTTCATCTGTTCCTTCCTTCCAAGCCCTGTCCAGCTTGGAATGGTTCCTTGCCTGTGCTAGTGTCACACTGTCTGCAGCTGCCAAGAAGCTTAGTAGAGCAGTTTAGAAGATCTGTCAGTTACACCGGGATCCCTGCAGCTCAACCAACCCCAGGTCAGGTGGAGCTTTTAGATCCCATTTAGGATCTTTCAGAGGAAGTCAGGATGGAAGCGCAGGCCCTCGGTCGCCTCTGACAGGACCAGCTCTCACCTGCATGCTTTTCCTTTGCTCTGCAGACTGTGTATGCCAGGGACTGCCCTCTCGCAGCAGCCAAAGCCATCCAAGGGCTGCGGGCAGTTTTTGATGAGACCTACCCCGATCCTGTCCGTGTGGTCTCTATTGGCATCCCTGTGGAGGAGCTGCTGGCCGACCCCTCCGGCCCTGCAGGCTCCATCACTTCCATCGAGTTCTGCGGAGGGACGTGAGTATCTGGAGGGACCAGGGAAGGTGGCGGGGGGGGGGGAAAGCAGCCCCTGTGAAGCCTGAGCTTCTGAGGGCTGTAATGTGGTTGTGTGCTGGGCGAGGAAACTGCCTGCGTGCTGTCGCTGCCCCCACGCAGTGTCTGACAGCACTGGTGCTTGCCACCCTTCTCTCACTCTTAAGCTCTTAGTGGCAAGGTTGGGTTTTCTGTCTGTCCCTTGCTACTTCTCCCTGGCAGGGTGGTTTCCTGGTTTCCATGCTGAATCCTGCTGAGATGAGAAGCGGACTGGTCTGCTAACTCTCTCTTGTTGTGGGTCTCTTTCTGGGTTCTTTCTTAAGGCACCTGCAGAACTCTGGCCATGCTGGGCCCTTTGTGATTGTTTCAGAAGAAGCCATTGCTAAAGGCATCCGGAGGATAGTGGCAGTCACTGGGGCTGAAGCTCGGAAGGTAAGGGCAGGCAGGAGTTGTTCTCTTCTGGGAGGATCTTGGCAGTCCTTCTGGCAAGGGAGGGTGCAGCCAGAATGTGGCTCTGGGCAAGCACTGCCTGCATTGGCTCTGCTGCTTTCCTGGGGGTCACTGAGCTCTGTGCCTGGTGCTGCTGCCTTCCTGACGCTTCTTTTGGGGGTGGCCTGGTAGCTCCCCCTGCGTGACGTGACTCAAACTGTGTTCTGCCAGGCCCTCAGGAAGGTAGAGAGCCTCAAGAAATTGCTGTCAGCCCTGGATGCCAAGGTGAAGGTCCAGACAGCTCCCAACAAGGATGTGCAGAAGGAGATCACAGACCTCAGTGAGGTGAGGGTGGCAGCAGCGCTGGGACCTTACTTGCTGGCACTGGGAGTTATTAATGAAGCCCAGGCTGTTTCCTTCTTCTCTGTCTCCTCCTCTGGGTCCTCTTTGTCTTGGTTACTCTCGTGGGGTTAATTGGTGAATTTAAGTCTTGTGCCAACACTCTTGTAGGACACAAGCTCAACAGAGGTCTCAGCCCTGTGTTCTTTGGGTTTGCAGCTCACACCTGAGCTTGCTGGATAGTGGGACAGGGGAGCTCAATCACTTTGAGGTTCACGAATGCAGTGCACCATGCCCTGCCTTCTGCCATGGGCACCCACACCCTTAACCCTCCCTTGTCCTGTTTTGCAGATGCTGGCCACTGCTGTTATCCCACAGTGGCAGAAAGATGAGCTGAGAGAAGCTGTTAAAGCACTGAAGAAGGTTATGGATGACCTGGACCGTGCAAGCAAAGCTGACATCCAGAAACGAGTGAGCCCTGGCTGGGGGTAAAAGACAGCATGGGAGGGCTGCTGGGGGCCGTACTGGGAGCTCCAGTTTTGCACACTGCAAAAGGGAGCTGAGCTGTGGCTCCTTCTGTGCTTTGTTCCTTGCAAGATGGGATGCTTCTGAAGCTGGGTGCAGGGTAAGGCTGGTGCCTGGGTCTTCCTTCGGTTCCCATTGGATTTTTCTGGAAGAGGAACCACGCACATCACTGTTGCTGCCTTGCAGAATGCATACCCTCCTCTGAGTGTGTGGTTGGCTTTTTTTTCCTAGCACTGCAGTGTGGGACTGCCTGAGGCTGGGCTGTGGGTGTGCTGGGACACTTGAGGGGCCTCTGCCTGCAGGGAACTCTGGTCTGGGTGGTTCTTGTATCCACGTGCACTGTTTGTCCTCAGGTACTGGAAAAGACAAAGCAAGTCATTGAGAGTCACCCTAACCAGCCACTAGTCATCATGGAAATGGAAAATGGGGCCTCAGCAAAGGTATGGGAAGGTCTGATTGTGCCTGAAGGGCAACTGGGGGGGCTCTATTTGCTCTTGGAGACAGTGCTGTGTTACAGAGGCATTAGGCCAGCTGCCAGCTCTGAGGAGGACATGAGGAAGAGAGAGAACATGTCTGTAGTGTGCCATGTGTCCCAGCTCCTGGACTAACAAATGGGTTTGCATGGGTGGGTGGGTCTGAACCATTCCCTGAGCTTTCAAACCTGGTCAACCCTTTGAAAGGGCAGATAACAGCAGGACAAGAAATGGTTTGAAGTTGAGGGAGGGCAGATTGAGGTTGGATGTCAGGGGGAAGTTCTGTACTATGAGAGTGGTGAGGTGCTGGAACAGCTGCCCAGAGAGGCTGTGATGCCCCATCCATCCCTGGAGGTGTTCAAGGCCAGGTTGGATGGGGCCCTGGGCAGCCTGGTGTAGCATTAAGTGTGGAGGCTGGTGGCCCTGCGTGTGGCAGGGGGTTGGAGCTTCGTGATCCTCGAGGTCCCTTCCAACCCTGGCCATTCTGTGATTCTGTGTGGTGAGAATTTCCTCTACGGAAATGGCATTGGATTCCAGGTGAGACTCATCCCAAAGGAGTCATTGCAACAAAGTGCAGGGCTTAAATGTTGGAACAGCCACGCTGTAATGCCCTATTTCAACTTCCACTTTGGGAGCTTGATCTGGTGCTGTTTCATACTCCTCCATGGCTGTCCCCATCTCTGTGATGCTCTCAGCTGGGCTGGAGTGGTGGAAGGTGAGCCACTGTGCCTTGTTCCTCCTGCAGGCCCTGAACGAATCGCTGAAGCTCTTCAAGACTCACTCCCCCCAGACTGCCACCATGCTCTTTGCTGTGGATAACGAAGCGGGCAGGATCACTTGTCTGTGCCAGGTGCCCCAGGTCAGTGTGGGTGCTGCTGTGCCTTTCTCAGTGGCAGAAAGATGAGTCTCATACAATGCGACCACATCGCCGTGGTGGATGAGAGCCACAGCTCTGTGGTGCTGCCGGGGCATGGAGCAGGAGGGGAGAGGGGAGAGCTGGGGCTCAGGAGCTGTGTATGAAAGAGCATCCCTCGCTGCCACCGGGCTGGAGGTCGAGCTCCTTTTTTCCCTTCTTTTCCTCTCCAGGAGACAGCGCAGAAGGGCCTGAAGGCCAACCAGTGGGTGCAGGAGGTTTCTGCTCTGATGGATGGCAAAGGTGGAGGGAAGGACATCTCCGCACAAGCCACAGGAAAGAACGTGGGCTGCCTGCAGGAGGCTCTCCGCCTGGCCACGGACTTTGCCAGGCTGCACCTGGGGGAGCTGAAAAACTGACTGGAACGCCACGTCCCCTCTCCTTCCCCCTGCTTTGCTGTATGAGCCCCGCCTCCAATAAATCATAGAATCAATCAAGTCCGAAGGGGCACTAAGCTCATCCAGCCTGACCATCGGCGCTGCGCTGTCCCTCCCTGGGCGGCTGTGCCACCCCCGACCGCTCTTCCTTCTCCCCCTCGGCCGCTCAACGAACGCAGGCGCTGCGGAGCTGCCCGGGGGGGCCGACCGAGGGCGGAGCGGAGCGGCCGGGGCTCCTCCTCCCTCCGCGCCCGCTTCCCCCGCCATGCCGCTGGATCACCGCCGCCTGCACGGCCCGGAGGACTCGCGGCCGCCGGAGCTTTGGGCGGCGCAGCCCCGCGACGGAGGAGGAGAGGAGGACGAGGAGAGCGGAGCGGCGCCGCGGGATCCCTGCGCGCTTCGGCCGCTGTTCGCCCGCGCGGGGCTGCTGAGCCAGGCGGAAGGCTCCGCGTACGTGGAGCTGAGCGGCGGCACGAAGGTGCTGTGCGCCGCCTGGGGACCGCGGGAGGCGGCCGAGCCGGGGGGGGCGGTGGGAGCGGGGCGGCTGCTGTGCGATTTCCGCCGGGCTCCTTTCTGCGCCCGCGGGGCCCGGCCCAGACCCGGGGGGGCGGCGGAGCGGGAGGCGGAGCGGGAAGCGGCGGCGGCGCTGCGGGAGGCGTTGGAGCCGGCGGTGCGGCTGTCCCGGTACCCGCGGGCGAGGCTGGTCGTCAGCGCGTTGCTGCTGCAGGACGGCGGCTCGGCCCTGGCCGCCGCTGTCAGCGCCGCGTCCCTCGCGTTGGCCGACGCGGGGGTGGAGATGTACGATTTGGCCGTGGGCTGCGCGCTGTGCCGCCCGCCGCCCGGCGACCGCGACGGTTCCGCGGCGGGGCCGTGGCTGCTGCAGCCCGGGGAGGCCGAGGAGCGCGGTTCCGCCGCCCGCCTGACGGTGGCGCTGTTGCCCGCCCTCAACCAGGTGTCGGCGGTGCTGGGCGGCGGCCGCGGGGGGGAGCCCGAGGGCTGGGCGGCGGCGCTGCGGCTGGGCGTGGAGGGCTGCCAGCGCCTTTACCCCGTGCTGCGGCACTGCCTGCTGCGCGCCGCGCGGCGCCGGGACGGGGCGTGAGGTGCGGGGCCTCGGGGAGCTCCGGAACGCGGCTGGGGGCGGACGTGGTGGTGCCGGAGTCCCCCGGGAGCCGCCGTTGGTGCCACCGGAGACCCCATGAACGGCGCATGGTGACGCTGAGCCCGGTGGGTTTGTGTGAGCCGCCCCTCGCGCTGCCAGAGACGCCCCAGGAGTGCCAGCAGGGACCCCCGGAGCTGCTCTTGATGTCGTCGACGACCTCGAGCCACTCCTGATGCAACCAGAGCCCCCCAGAGCCGCTGCTGGTGCCATCGCCGACCCTCTGGAGCCACCCTCGGTGCCATCGGTGACCTCTGGAGCTGCTCTTGGTGTTGCCAGAGACCCCCAAGGCCTTACCTGAGCCACCCCTCACACCATTGGAGCCCCCCAGGACTGCCATTGAGACCCACCAAGCTGCCCCCGGTGCCATCTGAGAGGCTTACCTGAGACTGACAGAGACCCCCCTGGACTGCTTTCAGTGCCACCACAGACCCCCAGAGCTGCCCCTGCTGCCAGCAGAGACCCTTGGGGCCTCCTCAAACCACCCTCAGTACCAGCAGAGACCCAACCTGGTGCTGCCAGAGACACCAAGAAATCCCCCCACCACATCCCTGCACCTCGTGCCTCATTGACTGCTGCCTATGGCACCCCAGGGCGGGAGGACAGGTTGTGTTGTGTTGTTTTAGGTTCGTACAATAAAATTGTTCTGTTTTGTTTTTTTCCTGGTGAGTTCTGCCTGCTGAGATCCCCACAAAGCTCCGGGGTGGAGCTGGGGGCTGACCCTGCTGTGCCCCCATTCAAACATCAGCACTGGGGGTACACCTGAAGCCAAATAACCAGAGGAAAGAAATACAAATGGTTGTTTTTTTTCCTTTCCAGCACAATACACTCTTTCGCCGGAGCAAATGAGAAATACAGAACAACTTCCTACCAGTAAGAGGAGGACGACCTCAAAACGGGGGGCACAGACATGTAGGGAGAGGGATGGAGGCACAAATTCCTCAGGCAGAGGTGGCAGGGGGGGATCCCCGCTATGGTGGCAAAGAATGGGAGTCCTTAGGGACACCGTTAAGAGAAACCCACTGGTGACGGGGGGCTGGGCTCCATGCCACACCACCGGGTGCCCCGTGCTGCTGGTATCGGTGTGGCCATCTGTGTCCTCACCGCTGCCCAGGAGGCTTTGTTGTGCGTGGGGAGCTCATCTGGCCTGTGTTGTGCTCAGGGGATGGAGGGCTTGGGTGTGAACCCTGGGTCAGTGGGATGCTTTACCCACTGGGGAGGTGAGGATCGGGGACACCACAGATCTCAGCTCCGGGCTAACGATCCTTCAGGGTGTGGAGCTTCTGCCCTCCCACTCTCCACTCTCTCTCTTTACATAGCAAAACAAGAGGGATAAAAAAAAAAACAACGGGCACTCAAACACAAAGACTTCTCTCACCACGGCTGGCCAACGCAGGGCACGGGGCTGCTGGCACTGGTGGTGGGAATATGAGTGCAGGAAGAACTGGGCACCAGCCTGGCACCTGCCGGGAGCCTCCAAAGGGATGCAGAGATGGGGCAGGAGCTGCGGGGCTCCGGCATCCCCACTACTGGCTCCCCTCGTGGTCCGAGGCGTGGGCCTTCATCTGCAAAGGGAAATCCTGGGCTGCACCCAGAGCCTGATCCCTGCAAAGCCCTGGCAGCAGCCGGCCATCGCCTTACCATCATCTCCTCCGTGTCTGTGCTCTCCTCAGTGCTGTCCGTGTTGCGCCCATCCCCTCCGCTGCCCTCCTTGCCCCGTGAGCCCGCGCCCAGCGGGGCTGGTGATGCCGAGCCCACCTCTGCCTTCTTCTTCTCACTCTCCTTGCACCCTGCAGGGACAGTAGGGGCTCAGGGTGCCCATGTGGAACACCCGGAGCGGATGAGGGAATGGGGAATGTCTCCATGGGGTTCAGACGTCCCGTGCATGGCAGCATCCCTCACCCGAGAGCCGCTCCCTGCGCTGGTCCATGCGCTCCAGGCTCTCCAGCAGGCTGTCCACTTGCTCCTTGATCTGGCTCAGCTCCCCCTTGATGGAATGCAGCTCCTCGGCTCTCACTGTAGGAGCGGAGCCCTCAGCATCCCATGGGATCAGCACCCAGCACCCTGCAGGTACCCGGGGCCACCACGTCCCACTCACGTTTCGTCCGTGTCCCCGTGGAGCTGGCGCTGCTCCGCGCCCCGTGCTGGGGGCTGGGGCTGCTTGTGCCTCCTGCTCTTGCGTGCGTTCTCCTGGCCTTGACGGGGATGTGGTTAATGAGGGGTGGGATCTTCTGGTACTCATACACCCTGCAGGGGCACAAAACAGCACAGAAACTCGCTCTAAGGGGGCTTCTCAGGGGCAGAAGTGGGGGACGGGGATACCAGGACCCTCGTGTCACCGTCCCACACGCACCGGTATGGGAAGTCATCCCTGTAAAGGTTGTAGTCCAGGTCGCAGGTGCTGCTGCAGGAGGGGATGGAGGACAACAAGTCAGCACGTGCAGCACCGTGGGGCAGGGACACCTTCCTGCCACACGTCCCCATCCCTGCAGAAGGCTCTGAGATGAGGGTTTGTGTTTGGAGCACAGTCGCCGCCTCGCCATGTGCTGCTGCTGCTTGGCAGCGCGACCCAGAGCTGCTCCACAGAGCATCCCATGGGATGGGCAATGGCTGCTGCATTCTGGTGGCCACTGGGACCACGGTCCCTGCCCTGCCAGCACCGCATCCCTGCACGGCCCCAGTGCCATGGCAACGGGCAGAGCAATTAATTCCATCCAGAAGCTTTCTAACGAGACGGAGCGCAGCGCTGACTCTGGGTCATAGAATCACACAATCGTGAAGGTTGGAGAAGATCACTAAAATCCCCAGGGTCGACCCCAGCCCGCCCCCACCGTGCCCACTGCCCACGTCCCTCAGTGCCACATCCCCTCAGCTCTGGGACAACCCCAGGGACGGGGGCTCCCCCACCTCCCTGGGCAGCTTTGCCAGCGTTCATTCCAAGAAGGAATTGTTCCCAATGCCCAACCTGAACCTCTCCCCCTGGCACAATTGAAGCCATCACCTCTTGGCCACGTGCCATACGTGCAGTACCCAGCACGAACAAGGGACCCCCAAGAGCCAGGGATGAGGAGCTGCCCCAGGGGTGGGACCTGCTCCAGGGATGGGGACCCGTCCTGCTGCTGCTGGTGTCTCCATCCCTATGTGGTGCTGTAGGGGTGCCGTGCCCTCAGGCTGTCCGCTAAGGTACCTCATTGTAAAAACCATGGAGCTCTTCTTACGGGTAGAAGAATCATGGAATCATAGAAGAAGCCTCCAAACCCTTCAGTGAGGTGGGTTTGGGGCTCAGACGGGACCCCCCAGGAGCTGCTCACGGGGACCCACAGATGCACAAGTTGCCCATGCACTGGCACTCACAGGTACAGGCTGCTGCTGTACGGCCTCTTTTGGCCCAACCTGACCCGGCTCGGCTTTGCCTCCCTGGCCATGTCCAGATCTGCAGGGAGAAAGAGCAGGGCTGTGAGCGATGGAAAAACCCCCACGAGCCCCAGCAGAAGGCTCCTGTCCTTGCTGAAGGAGCTCCAGCCCAGAGGTGCTCCAGATGTGCTTTGCTGCTCCCAGAAATGGGTGTCTTTCTGCAAATTGCCCACTGCTCTCTTCCCATCATCGTCACCGTGCCCATGGTGGCTTGTCCCAACCAACCTTACCATGCCTGCCTGTCCCGTGGGTGTCCCAACTATCATCACCCTGCCCAGTTTTCCACAGGTGTCCCAACCATGCCTGGATGTCCCACAGATGATTCCTTCTGCTTGCAGATGGCTCCCATAGGGCTTGCTGCACTGCTTGCTTTCCAGTGTGCCCCCACCTGCCCCACATCCCCAGCATCCCCCAGCAGCTCAATGCCTGTCATGCAGCCACATGAGGGCATCGCAAAGGGAGCTTGTAGACACTTGCTCTCATGTGACACAGCAGTGGGACCATCCTCGGGGGCAGAATATCAGGGTCAGCTGGGCTCCACCACCCCTAGGACACCAGCCCCGTGCTGGGGCTCCTGGTATCTCAGTACTGGAGGGGACATCCATGTCCTGGGAGCATCCTGGTACTGGGAGGATGTCCCTGTACTGGGTGATAACGGTGATGTCCCAGTAGCAGAGGATATCCCTGTTTTGGGGAGCAATGGGCACAGGGGAGCATCCCAGAGCTGGAGGACATCCCTGTCCTGGGGTTGATGGTGTGGGGACATCCCAGTGCTGGAGAGCATCCCCATCCACGGGAGGTGGGGAGCAGGACACAGAAAGCATCTGAGCACTGGGACGAATGGACATCCCGAACCTGGAGGAAATCTGTCTGCTGGGGAGGAACAGATAGCAGGGAAGCACCTCCGTAGGGGAGGACATCTGTGGTTTGGGGGTTGGTGGGGACATCCCGGTACCCTGCCCTGCGGAGGACAACACGGGAGCATCCCGGTACGGGAGGACAGCCCAGCTGCGGATGCCCATTTCCCACATCCCCATCCCGGTGCCCGCGCTCCCATCCCCGTACTCACACCTCCACCCGTCCCGACCGCTCAGAGCGCTCATGGCTCCGTCCTCAGCCCCGGTCCCGGCCCGAGCGGCCCCGACCCGAGCGCACCTCCCCGGGCCGTACCACGCGGCCGCCGATCCGACAGGGGGAACGGCCCGAACCACCGCGCCGCCGGGGGGAGCGAGCGGACCCAGCGATGCGTGCGTTCGGGGTGCGCGGGGACAGCCCCGCGCCTCGGTTTCCCAAGCAGGGAAAGCTCAGAGTGTCCGGATCTGGGGGAGGAAAAATTCCTCCTGAATTCATCTATTGGAGCTGGAGGTCTCGGGATCCAGGTGGTGAAGGACCCAGGTGGGAGAAAAGAAAAGAGGACGAGTGGCTCTTCCAAACGGAGAGAGGGCTTTTATTATCCCGGCCACGAGGAAGCTGCAGTGCCCAGCCTTCACCCCGAGCCGTGCCGAGGTCTGTGTCACCCAGCAGTCCCCTTGGCAGCTCACCTGGACGCCCCCAGGCTGGGCATCTCCCCGCCCCAACAGCTGTCACAGGTGGTGACAGAGGGAGGCAAGGAGCAGCTTTGGGATGCTGACACACAGCGCACGCCCTTCTCTGCCGGTCCCGGTGCCACATCTGTCCCACAGCCTGGAGTTACCTGCTCAGGGGGCCCGCTGCCATCGGGAGATGTGCTCCTGGGCTGCATGGGAAGCGGAGTCAGGGTACTCGTGGGCCTGCATGCTGTGCACATGGGGGACCCGAGGGCTGTGGCCACGCGCTCACCGAACTGGCAGATGTAGCGGTTTCGGGTCTTGCAGCGTTGGTCGTTCCAGTTGAAAGCAGCTGCTGCCTGCATCTCCACGCAGTTCCCAAACCTGTGTGGGAGAGGAGGGGGACAGGGCGGTGCCACAGAGGTCATCACGTCTCCCGTGGGAGATGGGCACCTACCCCTGGTTGTCTGGCTGCCCAAAAGCAAAGCTGGTGAAGGCAGAAGGATCTCCCGTGTCCCAGCGGAACGAAGCCTTGGATGTCTTGTAGGTGAGACCTGGAGAGCCAGAGGGGTGAGGTGTCCATTAGTGGGGTGGGATGTGCATCAGAAGGGTTGGATATTCATCACGGGGGTGGGATGTCCACCGGGAGGTTGAGATGACCAAGAGAAGAGTGGGATGTTCGTTAGAGAGATGGGATGTCCTCTAGGGCAGTGTAATTTCCATTCAAGGTGTGGGATGTCCACCAGCACCCTGACACCGCACCACCCTTCAGCAGCACACAGGACTCACCAATCCAGAAGTTACAGGTGTCAAAGTCGTTGTCCATCACCCTGTTGCTGCTCTCCAGGCGGCTGAGGTAGAAGGCTAGGATATCCTGCACCTTCTGGTTCCTGATCTGAGCCAGCATAGCCCCTTTCTCCTAGAGGGAAGCCAAGGAGTCAGCAAGCAGCTCAAATCTCTCTTCTGCTCTCCAGCTGAAACCCCTGGACTCAGCTATGGGGTTTCAGGTGTTCTGGGAGGGCCCAGCTCACCTGGCACTTGGCTTTGGCCCCATAGTATGTGTCAGCCTCGGGGGAAACGGTGAAGCAGTCACCGTCGATCCTCACATCGCAGGCATGGAAAGGGAATGGGACCCTGGCTGCGGGCACAGGGGGGCACAGGTGGGTGCTGGGGCAAAGGGACCCCCCGGCAGGCACAGCCCCCACTCACTGCCGCACTCAGCACCGCCATAGCCAGCATCACAGAGGCAGGAGCACTCCTCCTGCCGGAACTTCCCGTGGAGGCACCGCACGCTGCACCGCACTGCCAAAGAAGCAGGGAATTAGGCTGTGCAGGGCAGCCAGCCCTGAAGCCGTGTCCCTTCCCACAACACCACACTGAGCAGCCCAGCCGTGCACATGCACCATGCACAAAGCAGGCAAATGCACGCGCTGCACTGACCATGCACACACTGACCAATCTTGCTCGCAAATGCACAGCACCAGCCACGCACATGCATGCACTGCAGTGACCAATCTCACGCAGCACCAACTCTGCTCATGCATGCACAGCGGCAACCACTCATGGGCATGCACTGCACTGACTTTGCACATGCATGGGCTGCACCAAGCATGCGTGCACTGCATTGAGCTTGCACATGGATGCTCCACACCGTGCATGGATGGACAGCATCGATCATGCACAGACGTGCATCACTCACTCCTATGCACTGCACTCACCCCACACACACAGTGATCTGGCTTGCGTGGCCACTCAGGCCCTGCGCTGCCTGCGTCCAGCTTGTTCTTTGTCCTCCATGGGCACCGTGGGCACCGCTCACCTTGGCAGAAGCGCCCGGTGTAGCCGGGGGCACAGGCACACTGGCAGCTGCTGACATTGAGGTGTGCACCGTTCCTGCAGCTCATGCGACACGGGTTCCTGGGGACCTCTGGGCAAACACATGGGGGGGCACACGGCCATCAGGGGGCTGTAGGGCTGGGCCGAGGGGTTGAGGGTTGCAGGGACTCACCGCAGAGCCCACCGCCGTGGTCCCAGGACTTGAAGCAGCCTGAAAGGCCGGCGGTGCACAGCGAGCACCAGGGCCCATGCTGGTAGGGGGCGATGGGGGCTCCGGCCAGTTCCCAGTTCCCCCTGCCCAGGGAAGGAGATGGGAGGCACCCCCAGCTCAATGCCCGCAGTGGGGTGGGCACGTCTACTCAGCATAAGCCCCGCCCCTTCTAGGGAATAGACCCCGCCCTTTCTGCTGAGCTCCACCCACCCGGTGGAGCCCCGCCCACTCGTGACACGAACCCACTCCCATTGGCCGAACCCACGCGCTCATAGCACAAAGCCACGCCCACTCATCACAACCCCCCCGCCCACTCAGCACAAAGACACGGCCATTGGCTGAGCCCCTGCCCACTCGTAGCACAAAGCCACGCCCCCTCCAGTCGGCCACGCCCCCTTACCCAGGTGAGTAGGCGCAGGCAAAGGCCTGGCTGCGGCCCCGGCTCCCCGCACACAGCTGCCTGCCGCAGCCCAGCCGCCGTGCAGTGGCCCACACCAGCTAGGGGACAGCGCACCATCACCCTCCGCCACCTCCTGCCCCCCACCTGCTCCCCCCGGTCCCCATCCCACCTGGGTGTAATGGCGGCAGGTGGCATTACCAGCACAGCGTGCCGCTCCATAGTCGTAGCGTCGGCCCTCGGCAAACCAGCGCTCCAGCAGCTCGACGAAGCCCCCGGCACCCACCGGCAGCAAGGCCTCGCTCCAGCCAAGCTGTGGGGCTGGAGGAGGAGCGGGGCCCTCCAGGCAGCCTGCCACCCGCGCTACCGCCAGCTGTGCCAGCTCCTCGCTCCACTCCTGCTGGGACACCGGGCTGGGGGCACTGGTGGGCAACGGGAGATCGTGGAGGCACCCAGGGGATGCCTGAGGACTCCAGGAATTGAGTAGGGGCCACCAAGGGATGTTGGGTGACCAGGAGATGTTTGGGAACATCTGTAGTCCCCCACCTGGGACTACTATAATAGATGAGCAGGGAATGTTGGGTGACCACCAGAGTCATTGGCAGATGACTGGGGACCACTTGGATGTACCTGGAGACCAGGGGATGACTGGGGATCACAAGGAGATGATTGAGAACCACCAGGAGATGTTTGGGGACCGTCAGGACACGGTTGACCACCAGGAGACCACAGTAAGATGATTTGGGACAACTGAGAGTTGATTGAGGACCACTAGGACATGACTGAGCAGTAGAGGATGAGTGGGGACTACCAGGGAATGACTGGGGACCACAGGGAGATGACTGGGAACCACCAGGAAGAACATTGGGCAATCATCAGGAGATAACTGTGGACCACTAGCACGTCTGACCATCAGGGGGACAAATGGGGACCACAAAAAGACGACTGGGGACAATTGAAAGTTGACTGGGGACCACAAGGACAGGACGAGTGGTCATCATGGTCTAGTGGTTGGTGACCCTGCCCGCGGAAGGGGGTTGAAACTAGGTGATCTTTGAGGTCCTTTTCAACCCAGGCCATTCTAGGGTTCTATGGTTCTGTGGTTCTGTGGTTCTGTGGTTCTATGGTGCTATGGTTCTGTGGTTCAATGGTTCTATGGTTCTATGGTTCT